TATCAGTGGCGTAGTAACTACATTATCAGTGGCGTAGTAACTACATTATCAGTGGTGTAGTAACTACATTATCAGTGGCGTAGTAACTACATTATCAGTGGTGTAGTGACTACATTATCAGTGGCGTAGTAATTACATTATCAGTGGCGTAGTAACTACATCATCAATGGCGTAGTAACTACATGATCAGTGACGTAGTAACTACATGATCAGTGACGTAGTAACTACATTATCAGTGGTGTAGTGACTACATTATCAGTGGCGTAGTAACTACATTATCAGTGGTGTAGTAACTACATTATCAGTGGCGTAGTAACTACATTATCAGTGGTGTAGTAACTACATTATCAGTGGCGTAGTAACTACATTATCAGTGGTGTAGTAACTACATTATCAGTGGCGTAGTAACTACATTATCAGTGGTGTAGTGACTACATTATCAGTGGCGTAGTAATTACATTATCAGTGGCGTAGTAACTACATCATCAATGGCGTAGTAACTACATGATCAGTGACGTAGTAACTACATGATCAGTGACGTAGTAACTACATTATCAGTGGTGTAGTGACTACATTGTCAGTGGCGTAGTAACTACATTATCAGTGGCGTAGTAACTACATCATCAATGGCGTAGTAACTACATGATCAGTGGTGTAGTGACTACATTATCAGTGGCGTAGTAACTACATTATCAGTGGCGTAGTAACTGCATTATCAGTGGTGTAGTAACTACGTTACCAGTGGCGTAGTAACTACATTATCAGTGGTGTAGTGACTACATTATCAGTGACATAGTAACTACATTATCAGTGGCGTAGTGACTACATTATCAGTGGCGTAGTGACTACATTATCAGTGACGTAGTAACTACATTATCAGTGGCGTAGTGACTACATTATCAGTGGCGTAGTGACTACATTATCAGTGACGTAGTGACTACATTATCAGTGGCGTAGTGACTACATTATCAGTGACGTAGTAACTACATTATCAGTGGCGTAGTGACTACATTATCAGTGGTGTAGTAACTACATTATCAGTGGCGTAGTAACTACATTATCAGTGGCGTAGTAACTACATTATCAGTGGCGTAGTAACTACATTATCAGTGGCGTAGTAACTACATTATCAGTGACGTAGTAACCACATTATCAGTGACGTAGTAACTACATTATCAGTGGCGTAGTAGCGACATTATCAGTGACGTAGTAACTACATTATCAGTGGCGTAGTAGCTACATTATCAGTGACGTAGTAACTACATTATCAGCGGCGTAGTAGCGACATTATCAGCTCAGGGGTTGTGGCAACCGTTCAGGTGAAGCCCCAATATTTTGTTCGTCTCTTCACGGTCGCACCTGGAGGCTATTTCTATATCGCGACCTCCTCCTGCCCTAATCACATCGTCCTTACGCTCACGGTCTCGAACATTTAACGCTGTGCGGGCGCTCCGTCTTTCGCCAAAGGCAGCCGCTGCAGCTCCGTAGTCACCTCTCTGCAATATAATTCACGCGTGTCTAATGCAATCAATATCACAGAAACCGAGTTGCTACGTCCACTGTTCTTCTACTCAAGTTGCCATCAATGGGTGCCCAGCTCGTAGCTTTGGGGATCAAGGCACCGCGTGCCCCCACGCTCGTTACCCTTCGGCTCCGCCGTCTCTACCCCCACCCCCCACCCCTGACGCTCTCACAATCAATAATTTCGCTCAATTAAAAGAGGCGTGTGAATAGCTCGTTCCACTTTTATTGGTGCTGTTTGTTGCTGGAGGCTTGACGTTTTATTTTCTTGGGCCCTTTGCCCAGCTACCGTCTCTATGAAACAAACCCCAGCAGGGCCGCTCTTCCGGATGATGCGCTCACGGGCGGAACTCTCTCTCCCATTAATATACAACATGCCAATGGTTTGCGCCAAGTCGTAACATAAACAACAGTCGAGTTCACGGAAGTTTTGTTCGTTCCAGACTCTTAAGCGTGTACATTTTCACTTATAGTGTAGTGCGCGTTCGCTGTGCAGCGGCGGAATTGGTGGGCAGTGTTTAATTGGGGTGGTGGTGGCGGGGGTATGAACCAGGTCAATTTTTAAAAAATCTTATTTCCACCTTCACTGGGGCAATTACACCGTCACCTCCACCGCATCATCATCATCGTCGTCGTCGCGTCCCTGTAGTTGCACGCGCCCACCTTTAATTATAATCATTTGCTGAAGGCAGGGGCGCAGCCCTGCAAAGGCTTCTGTTCGCGCCACTCGCTGGTGGAAGCGCCCCCACTAGAGGGGGCTCTAGTGGGGGCTCTTGTGAGCCCCCTTTAGAGGGGGCTCTCGTGAGCCCCCTCTAATGGGGGCTCTAGAGGGGGCTCTCGTGAGCCCCCACTAGAGGGGGCTCTAGAGGGGGCTCTCGTGAGCCCCCTCTAATGGGGGCTCTAGTGGGGGCTCTCGTGAGCCCCCTCTAGTGGGGGCTCTAGTGGGGGCTCTCGTGAGCCCCCACTAATGGAGGGGGCTCACGAGAGCCCCCTCTAGAGTGCCACTTGGCTTACTACTCCAGACGTCTTAGGGGCCGTCCATAAATGACGTCACGCGATTTTGGACGATTTTTGACCCGCCCCCACCCCTCTCGTCAAACGGCGTCACAAAAAGTCAGACCCCCCCCCCTCAAATATGACGTCACAAAGCTCTGCCCCCCCCCCCAATATAAATAAAACATGCTTCAAATCGCTTTAAACTATTGTCATTGTAGTGCGTATCTAATGTGGGGCTGTACTCTGATGTTGTAGGAGAAAACATTTATTTAAAAAAATCTATATTTATTTAAAGTTGCGCATTTTGATGTGACGTCACATTTCTCAACCCCCCCCCCTCTCGTCACACATCGTCACAAATGTCTGACCCCCCCCTCCCCTAGGTGCGTGACGTCATTTATGGACGGCCCCTTAGTCGAGGTTTGAGTAGCCAACCCTTTACCCCACGAAACGCGACCTGCATGGCACGCGCGCCCGTGGATGGAGGAATTTAAGAAACTCGCCAGCGTCGTTTCAAGTTGAAAGCTGCCGGGCCTGGTAGATCGAATCTAACAGGCGATTTATTATTATTGTTATATATATTTTTTTGTTTATCAGGTGAGTCTCTTCTTCAGCAGTGACCTGGCCAGTACTGGGGGAGCCAAAGGCGGCTTGGCGTGACGGTGGCCACCCACCCCCTCGTGTGCCGTGCCGGCCTTAATAGGCGCTCGCTAACAGCACTTGCCCCCCGACAGTCTGTTAAGGCTACACGGGGCCAGGGGTGATCTTTGTCTTTTGTGCGCGCACGTTGCACGCTCCCTCGCTGTCCCCGTCCGTCCACGTGCGCTAAGATCACATCAGCGCCAGCGCCGGATGAAGTTAAAGCGGAGCCTGTAGCATACGTTATGAAGGGGCTCTAAATAAATTAAAAAAAAAACACGTAAATATTAAAACACAAATTTTTTACTTGCATAGTTAAGTAATTGTATTTTTTCATTTGCCATACGGCCAGATAATACGACAAAACGCTAACCTTAAACAACCCAGTCGTTCATTAAAGTTGCTGAAGGCGGGATTGTCCTATAGTAATAGAGCAAGTGCAGAATCACTGAAACGGAATTGATAGCTTGAAAGCATTTAACGCGGGGCCCTTGAAAGTGCGGGGCCCGTAGCTACTACACACACACAGCTACAAATCTAGCTACACAAGTAGCTACAAGTCTAGCTACACAAGTAGCTACATATGTAGTAGCTACACAAGTAGCGACAAGTCTAGCTACACAAGTAGCGACAAGTCTAGCTACACAAGTAGCTACAAGTGTAGCTAGACTTGTAGCTAGACTTGTAGCTACTTATGTTACGAGGATAATCCGACAATGGTTACAGCAGAGAGCAGGTGAATTCTAAAAACAGCTCCTGCCTACTACTTTCCTCATCGACCAGACAGACACAGACGACCCCAGTAATTCCCCCGGTGATCGTAGCCCGCGCACAGACTGTTGCTGGGGCAAGTGTTGTGAACGATTTTCTTCGTTTGTTATTTTTATCGGGTGTGGCATATCAGAAGCGACCTGGCCACGAATGATAGCTGGACGAATTGCCTCACCGAGTGGAAATCTACGGCAGACAAATACTCTAAACGCGTGACGTTGATTCTAAACGCGGAGGGAGCAATCCGGAGGACCCGGATAGAAATCCACGCGACCAAGGGTGAGAGAGACGCGCAAACTTAATATGGGGCCGTCCATAAATGACGTCACGCGATTTTGGACGATTTTTGACCCCCCCCCCCCTCGTCACACGGAGTCACAGAAAGTCAGACCCCCCCCTCAAATATGACGTCACAACGCTCTGCCCCCCCCAAAAAAAACATTTCCATTAAAAAAATAAAACATGCTTCAAATCGCTTTAAACTATTGTCATTGTAAGTGCGTATTTAAATGGAATATGTTTTTGGGGGGGGGGGCAGAGCTTTGTGACGTCATATTTGAGGGGGGGGGGTCTGACTTTTTGTGACGCCGTGTGACAAGGGGGGGGGGGGTGGGGTCAAACATCGCGTGACGTCATTTATGGACGGCCCCCAAGACGCTCCGGAAAGTAAGGCGCGCCTTGACAACACGGAGGATTTCGCTGCACTGTGTAGGGTCGCCACCTGGCGTGCACAGTCGGGTACTGCAGTCGCTGTGAAGAGAGACGGCAAACCTGCTCGCAGGGGCCCTTCATCCAGCAGTGGATCGAACGCGGCTGATGGACACCATCCAATGGACTCCGATCGTTTTTGTTTGTGTTCATTTTGCTGCTGTAACTTCGTGACCGACGCCCCTGCTGGACGTCGGTCACAAAGGGCTTCGCAGCTCATCGGATTTCTCCAGGATAAATGAAGATTCTGATTCTAAAGCGCCACGTGGTGGCGCTGTGGTTAACTTACTGCGACAGGAACCCTTTGAGCCGAGTTGCATTTGCCCAACACGCAGTACTGTATATCCAAAAACCCAACATACTCCTCAATAGGAACACATACAATAGGCGACGTTTCGGGCAAATGGTCTTTCTGAATAACAGGTAGAGTGAACGAAACGAGCTGAAGACTGCACCACGTTGGCCTGATGAGAATCAACACTCCTGTATATCGTATTATTTAAACAAGTCCAAAGGGCGTGTTGCTTTGCTACATTTTGAAACGTCTTTTTTTTTTCAATGGCACCAGTTCCCGTTTAAAAAGTGGCAGGTGAACACCCGCCACTGAACACCACCAGTCGGCTGGACTTCACGAACGTCGGTAGACACCACTTGTTTGTCAGAACGTGGGCGTCTGGCAGGAGTGACCACGGTTGGTAACAACTCCAGCCTTGCTTGCCTGCTGGCCTATCATCCTCTGTCAATCTTTTACGAGACATATATACCCGACTCAACAATACCACACGGCCAAACATCTCCCCCCCCCCCACACCCCGTCTCTCTCTCTCTCTCCTCCTTCTCTTCTGTACCTCCCAGACCCCACCCAGCAAAGCCATTTTTGTATGCGTTTGTTACCGGGTCACAGTCAAGGAAGGGCTTTTTTTTTTCTTTCTGACAATCCACCGGACAAACCGCGCGCGTGTGGCTCAGCTTTTACTTTGGCCCGGTGAGGAACGAGAGAGGGCTTCTTCTCAAGGGTGTCGGGGGAGGACTTTGTCGTCGGAGTCCCGCAAAGGAGGTCGACCTCTCGCTGTGTCACTCTCTCTGTCTCTCTGGCCAGAGTTGTCCCGACGAGACGGGGCAAAGGGAGGAGTAGGTTGGTGGTGGTTGGTTGGTTGGTGGGGGCGCACGGCACGAAGGAGATTCGCGACAGGTGAGTCGACACACACTGCGTACACTCGGCACGCTCATCGCCGGCCACGAATCTATCCACTGCTGGTTGAAGGCGGCCAGGAAACAACGTCCGGCCGCCTTTGTCTCTCCCCGCCCCCCCCCAACCCACCTCCCCCAATGCTATGATTGTATTTTTCACACGAGACAGGGTCGTCGTTTAAGACTGAGTCGACATAAGGGGGCGGTGGCGTTATCGTCGATGTTAATAGCAGGTCCACCACGAGCCATGTCCGCACCACCACGATTATTCCATCGCTCCATCTCTCCGGTGGTACCCGTTGCTCTTTCGACCCATTCGTTTCACCCCCACCCCCCCCCCCCCCCCCCCCTCTAACAACAACCCTAACGCCGTGGGCGAATTAATTACGGGCAACCATGGGGGACGTGACCCCCAAGTTCGTCGGCCCGACTCGATTAGAAGGTTCATCTTCAAATCGAGTTTGAAGATTTATCGTCGACTTTGTCCGCTCGAGTCGGGAGTTATCATTCCGATGTGTTAAGCCCCCCCCCCCCCCCCGTTCTTTGAGCTCGTCCTAAGCAACGCTCCAGAATACAGAACCTCTCTCTCTCTCTCTCTGTGTCTGTGTGAGGAGCGGTAGTGTAGTGGTTAGCGCGCTGTGCTACGAACCTGGCAACCCGGTTTCCATTCCCGCTCACGGCCAACGCCAGTGACGATTATCTGAACAGGTCCTGGGCTTCAAATGAGTACCTGGTGCGGTGTGTAGGTATCGCCAATGGGGAGACAAAGGCGGTCGGGCGTGGTGCTGGCCACCCACCCCACTCGTGTGCCGTGCCGGCCTTCATAGGTGCTGCTCGCTAACAGCACTTGCCCCAACAGTCTGTTAAGGCTACACGGGGGATCTTTGTCTTCGACATTGCGTCCTGTGTTCGTGTGCGCTCCGAACCTGGCGAAGCCCGGGTTCGATTCCTGCTCACTGCCCACCAACACCGGTGACGATTGATCTGAACCGGTCCTGGTCCTACCCGCGGTCGACTCGGCCTTTGCCTTTATGTGTACCGTATATCTTGTCTCCCTAGTGCTTTTTAGTTTTGTCTACACAGCGCAGCACCAGGAATGATGAGTCGTTCTAATTCTGAGTCCATCTCGTGGAGGGCCCCAGAATCCTGCTCGGATGTTCGTGCAGGAGCGAGCTGGGGTTGTGTGGCATCGCAAGCACCCCGTGAGAGATAGCCACGGCGATCGGAGGCCTTAATCCAGCAGTGGATACCCCATAGCTCATGATGATGTGGGGAGGTCTTCATCCAGCAGTGAATACACCACAGCTCATGATGATGTGGGGAGGTCTTCATCAAGCAGTGGATAGACCACAGCTCATGATGATGTGGGGAGGTCTTCATCCAGCAGTGGATACACCACAGCTCATGATGATGTGGGGGGGGGGGGGGGGGTCTTCATCCAGCAGTGGATAGACCTCAGCTCGCGATTGCCTCATTGTTAGATAATGAGATGGCTTGGGCGAGGCAATGTAAGGCGCAGCCCTGCAATTGCGTTCAAAAGCCACGGCAGGCGGAAGGTACCTTCCATCATTCCGAGAGAGTTCTCGTCTCGAGAACCCATCCCAGAGGGTTATTTGTTTCAGTTTCAGTTATTTGGAATAACCCTGTGAGCCATTCGGCTCTTGATTCGGGTGCAACCGCAACAAACAATACAATTACAAGATACATTTATAATTTACCGTACACAAATTGAGACATTCCCTACAAAAGCAATAACATCGTCCAAAAAACGCACCATTTGTTTATGCTCCGGACTAAACTGTGCAAAAAAATCCCATTTTGATGTAAGATCACAATAACAATCATAATACAATTTAGATTAAAAAAAATTCAGTCTAACTCTATACTTCATCAAAGAATCGGGCTCAACTAAGCCTTTCTAGAAATTACTAAATGGTTTGAAAACAATGTAATAAGAGTGATCATAAGAAATGCGATTGAAAGTTAACAATAGCGACATACATAACACACATCGCTAAACCTAGCATCCTTCTCTAGCTGCATGAGTCAATCCATAATAGCAGGAGTAACAATAGTAGTAGTAGCAGCACACTATAATCAAAATACATGATAATTTCTCGCATTTGGCCTACCCTTCCACGCTGATTAAAAGTCTTGGAGTGAGATGTCGCAGTACCCACAGTTCACCCCCACCACACGCTCTCAGCCGATCCTTTTAACCGCTGTTACCCATTTAACAGGTCCCTTGCAGGGTGGGCTGGTAGGACAAGTCTCTGCGCTGTCTATTGCTGATTTTACACCCAACAGCACGAGATTTCACTTCGTTAAAGTATTGAAAGGGGACGGACGGACGGACACATTAATCTATTGCAGGCTGGTACACTCAGTTTACAACTTCGTTCCTACCAGTATAACTACTGGCTGGACGGAGAAGGGGAGGGCGTGCGGTGATGTTCAACGTTCAATGAACGTTCCCATTGTGGCCTTGCACAGTCTTGTGAAATCATTGCCCTTGTGCTTCAGCATCCACAACTCGGGAGGCACGGCTGAATAAATATTTACCTGTAAAACAATGCGCATCACGTGCCAATCAATCCCCATGTTTATATATATATTGTTTTTATTCTGCGAGCTGGGATATTGCCAAAGTAAGCACTCTGAGAAAATTAATTGTTGTTTCTGCGCAGTCTTGTGACCGGACTGAGATCATTAACTCGCTACACTTGAGGAGCTGGTTTAATCGCAACTTACGTCTGTGTGAGTGCCACTGACTAGATATAACTTATAAGTCTCATTAATTTCTAAACGTACAATGTATCTCTGCTTCGTCACCAGTGACCTTGTGCCCGGGCCATCTATTCACTCCACTTGTGAACTCAGTCTGTGTGGGTCTTAGGCATCTAGGTCTTTGCGTAAATCTATGCGTCTCAATGTAAATCACAAGCGCGCAAGCTGCTGCCACCACCAACTCACTGCACTTGAGAATCCGGTTCAATAACCTTGGCCTGGGTAGTTTAACCCGGATTCGAACCTCTGTTGACTGTTAACAGTAAACACCACAGGATGCCGGCGTTCAACCTGTTGTCAATCTACTGCTGGACGAAGGTCTCGGCACTGTTTGGCCATACTTCACCACGCTGGTCAGTGACGTGAAGGATGAATTCCCACCCAAACGAATTATTTGGCGCTACTGCTTGCTTCTAGCTGTGGCCTCCTAAGCAGTGCCGGATGAAGCTAGTGAGGGGCTTGTCGCATATTTTATAAAGGGGCCCTAAATTAAAAAAAAACATGAATATTAAAACGCACATTTTTTACTTGCATAGCAAAGTAATTGAATTTTTTGTAATTTGCCATACAGCGAGATAATACGACAAATCGCTAACTTTTAAACACCCAGTCGTTCGTAAAAGTTAAAGGCGGTGTAGTACTATAGTGATAGAGCAAGTGCAGAATCACCGAACCGGAATTGATAAGCTCGAAAGCATTTAGCGCGGGGGCCCCTTGAAAGTGCGGGGGGCTACGTATGCGTAGCGACATATCCGTAGCTACGAGGACAATCCGGCACTGCTCCCAAGTTGTCCTGGGACCGGTGGGGTTGTGGTCCGGTCATTGCACAGTGCGCTGACCGCAGCGCCCACGCTCCCGTAACCCCTGCCGCATGCAAAGTGGCGTTTGGCATAGCCGTGAGTCGGAAGCACACTGCGCGTGCCACGCATTCCACGGTGTGCCAAACGATTTGTCTGCCCGGTGGGGGGGGGGGGGGGCGGCGGCAAGGGGGGTGGTAGTCTCTGGGAGCCTAATCTCTACACTGCGTTCAGAAGCAACAGACAAAACAAACTTGATGAACGCGTTGCGCCAGTTGTGACAGCTACAGTTTGTCAAATGGGTTTGGTTTTCTCCCTTCATCGCCAGCGGCGAGGCGCTAGTGGCATTGAGCCAATGAGGCAAAAGCTAAAGGCGCTCAAGTGAATGAAAACGTAAATGCAGGGTGTCCCATGAGTCTGGAATCGTAGGAAAAAAACGCAGCTCCGCGTTGTTGGCTCGCCGTCCGGATGCAGTCTGTTAAATTCAACAGCGACCTCTTTTCCGACTCCGATTTCCTACGAGTAGAATTATCTGGGCTCGCTCTTCCTTGCTCAAGAGACATCTTGGGCCTGCAGAGACAACACAAAATACGAATGAGTTATTTTTCCCTATGATTCCAGACTCATGGGCCGCCCTGCAGAATAAACCAAAATCAGCTCCTATTCAGATTCTAATAATTGTAGGATGGCATTGCAGAGCCTCATCAGTAAAGTCAAAACAATGCTGGCAGACTGCTCTATGTGTACAGGGGCAAGGACTGGTTTTGACATTCAGTGTCTCATCAGGCTTTCTTAAAATAATACTGGCACACGGCCAGATGTTACAAGCAAGGGCCCTATCTGGATGGCTTGCTGGATTAACGTAGGCCTTCTCGGGTGAAGCTGTATAAAGGAATAATGGGGAAGGTCATGGCTGGAGATAACTTTAGACTCAGCGATTTATAGACACGCATATAGACCCATGGGCTTGCATAGAGACCCATACACTCACAAAGAGACTATTAACTTACACAGAGACTCGAAAATGTATTTAGAGACCCATGTATATATGAAGGCCGTAGCCATGGAGTCAACATTGGGAGGGGACCAAATCTTCCAGGGGGTCTGGGGTTCCCCCTCCAGAATTTTTTTTCAATTTGACAACGAATTTCCTGCCTACACAGGATGGACGTTTTTTGTACATTCATGTCTAATAGTGTATTGTATTACATTGCTCTGTTTTTTACCTTTTCTTGTTTCATTATATGTAATGGCAGAGATTAGGGATAAATAAAGTACAACCATAACCACAATCATATAAACAGAAATCTATTTTATAGCAATATATTGGGGGGGGGGGGTATTTTGAGCATATTTGAATATTGGGGGGATGACACATCCCCCCAATATATTATATATTTTACGGCCTTGGTATGTATGTATGTAGAGATACACAGACGTACACAGAGATCCATAGACACACTTAGACTTGAGATGTGGTTAAACAGGGCTGTCACGATGGGCAGGTGGCTCGCAGGTCAGAACGCTGAGCTGGTTCTCAAGTGTAGTGAGCTCATCGTTCTAACCCGGCCACCAATGATCGCACAGAAAGAAAAAAAACTGCACATTCAAATTTGGTTCTCAACTTAACCTGCCCAAGTTTTTTTTAGCTCCGACAACTTAAAACATCGGTTCCACTGAAAGATACTTTTTCGGGGATGGGCGTGGAGAGCTATCCCAAAAGAAGTAGCTTTTAACAGCAAAGGAACTCCATTCTTTAGAATAGCTTTTTGTGTTTAGTTTGTTGTCCTTCTCCGTACCGCCGATTAGCACAGTTGGCTACGTACGGTGAAAAATAGGTTAAACGTACATACCTCTCGCCGTGAAAACCCACATCATTCAACACATCGGTTCTACTGTCACGCGATGAAACATTATTGGGACACACGAGCGGCTGATGTAAACATCGATAATGATGGCATTTGGCCCACACGGTGGCTTTCGTCCATTCTTTGGCGCGTGCAAAATGACTCTTCAGCCAAACACGCATGCACGGCGGCCCACCGCTCGCTGGACCGTGGGCGCTGCTAGGGTGGTACAGTTCGCCCCTCCGTCACCGGGCGTGAAGGGCGGTCCCCATGGCAGCCTCGGCCTTCGCGGGCCCCGGGGGTCAAAGACTGAATCGCAACTCGGATCACCTGCACGCGGAGGCGGGGCGTGGTTGTGTGTGAGCAAGCGGAGTGAGTCAACCGCTCGGGGACACCAGCTCGTTTTACTCTGGTTTTGCATAGCGGAGGCGTTTCGGCACAGTGTGTTGGCACGCCGTTGATGGTGGTGTACGTTGTTCATATGTTGGCACCCACAATACGGCAGTGGGTAATCCGTTGATTACTGAAGGCAGATTAAAGCCTCGAGTAGGCCAGTGGCATCCACACCGAGGCAGTGGGACCATGGGTAATCTCGTGATTGCTAAAAGTAGATTTAGCCTCAATTGGGCCAATGGCATCCTCAAAAGGAAAGTGGGACCATGGGTATTCTGATTACTCAAAGTAGATTTGAGGCTTGGGCAGGCCAATGGCCTCCACACCAGGATAGTGGGACCCTGGATAATCTGTTGATTACTAAAGGCAGATTAAAGCGTCAGGTAGGCTTTAATCTGCCTTTAGAATTGCTTTATGGGAAGGCATTGGCGAGGTGTGGTGATGTCAGAGGCTTCGGCCGTGATGACACCTTGATCTTTTGCTACTGGGGCAAGTTTTTAGGTCAATCGCTGCCGTAAAATATTTGCCAAAATAAATGATCGCCGCTCCGTTGTCCATTGGACATTTTAAGAAACTTGTCCGGTTGTTTCAACTGCTGCCAGGCGTTGTAATCAAATGCGACCGGCGGTCTCATGATTTCAAGTCGAGTGTTCCACACCATCGCATCGGTAGCGCTGTATACCTGCGTTAACTTAACACCTAGATCATTCGTAATATATTTTTTGTGTCCGGCAACGTGATGATTGTGGCTAAATCCATGTTATTCGAAATCCTGCACCACCCAACGCAGCCAAACAAATGAAATTGTCGGGTGTACAAGCATTCAGCGGGGCAATTATTTGTTTTTTTGCATGTTCATAACAAGTACTGTGTGTGGTTAATGCAGACATGATTCCTTGCAAAAGGTTTATATGTGGTGTTTTGAACATCTTAATACCTGTTTTATTGCCAGGAAGGGTAAAACCTATTCTTATATTTTCATACTTTGATACTGGCAAAACTGTCCCATTTTGTAGCTGCTCACGCCGAGCTATAAAGTCGTTCTCTGGTCTGACACTGCTGAGACTAGGCCCTAACGAAGGCTTTGGTGTAGGCCCATACGTTTCAAAGGCAACGCATATTTTATCGGAGCATGTTTGTTTGCATGTTCACCACAAGTACTGCGTGTGGTTAATGCAGACTTGATGCGTTGCAAAATGTTTCTATTTGGTTTTTGAACATCTCGTATTTTCACACAACTATTTGTGATTATGCTTGCTGGCAAATTGAGAGAACAACCAAATTTACCCACTGCAAACAATGACGTTTCACTTGAAACTATGTCAGGACAAGATGCAGAAAGTCAGAATCACTGTCAAAGTCAACATGCAACGTTGGGCCAACGTTAGCATGCAGTTGGAACTGCTGTTGGACCAACTTGAATCGAACATTGGCCCAACGTTCCGCGTTTACTGGGGTGTCACCTGACCCGGCTTACAATAAAACGTACCGTGCATAGTTAAGCGCATACGTCGCCCGGGCGATAACATCCCTAAGAACATTCTGTTTCTCGTGTTGTGATTTGAAATTCCGGTTTAAAACAACTAAAATTAAATAAACCACACCTGTCCGCGAGTATGGGTTGGGCGGCAGAACGGATGACCCATGCGTCCGCGCGGAGAAACGCGAAAGACGCGAAGCCGTTGGCAAAGTTTCGAGCCTCTTCTTGCCCTTGGGGGAAATGTGACCCAACTTCAACCCTTTGTCTCATGCTTCCCACTTGCCCCTCCTCCCCACGTTCATGAAAAAACACATTGCGTTGCATGCCCGTTTGTGGTCGAGAACAGCACCTGCCCCAAAAGTCTGTTTCAGCCTTCATGGGGCATCTTTGTCCTTATACGGCGATCCGAGTTCTATTCCCGCTCATGACCAGTAACAAGTGGCAAATATTTTAACCGGTCCTGGGACCCCCCACAACCCCCCGGGCTGGCTCGGTTGTAAATGAGTAACTGGTGCCGTGCGTAAAACTGCATTGGGGATACAAAGGTGGCTCGCCGTGGTGTTGGCTACCCACCACCTCTTGTGCAACGCCGGGCTTCGTAGGTGCTCCCTTAGCAGCACTTGGCCCAGCGTTGTGTGTGGGCTACACCGTGGGGGGGAGAAGAAATATTTAGTCTTTTGTGTTTTCAGTCGGACATCCGTCCCCTTGACGTGACAAGAAGAGGGGGCTGCCCCCCGGCAGGAGGAGAAGGGCAGACAGCCGCCCCCCTCCGCCGCCGTCGTCATCATGGTGAAGGACCAGGAGAGGCCAGCGACTCGCCAGGCCGTGGAGAGCGACGAGACATGCCCGGCGGCGGTGGTGGCAATGTCCGTCATGGTTGACTCGGCTTCCTCGTCCTGCGACTCCTCGCCGCGGAACAGCGGCGTCCGTGGCGGCTTCCCGGTTAGTGCCCCCCTCCCTCCCTCTATCCCCACCCCCCCCCCGCCCCCACCATCCCCTCCCCTTGTGCCGTCGCCACTTTGGGGCTGCCATCCGGTCAGGGTTGGAATGAAACACGCCGTGAAGTCTGGCAGTGTGAAATACCGCCGATTTGGCAAGTCTGGTGTACATTGATGCTGTCGGTCGGTGTTGAAAAATTTAAAGCCATCGGTGAGCGAGCGTTTTATCGGTCAAAATTAGATGGGTACGTATCCATGTCTTAAGAATAACATCAGTTGTGAACGTTTGGTAATATCGATTTGGACATTAAATCAACCACCCAACCAACGTGGCCTAACTTAGAATACGAGTTTTGACTTTCCAATGCACTCCCAATTGCCGATGTACGTATGTATGCGTGTTGAAGTGTTGACATTCTTTCGCAACTGTACATAGGCCAGCCGTGCTAATCGGTGCGGATGTCAAATTGCTCCCAGACAAAATAATTTGCGCGCTGCTCACCTCTGCGCCTCCCAGTTTTATTGAATGGCCCTGGGGTGGGAGCAGTGCCAGATGAAGCGAGTGCGGGGACTGCAGCATACGTCACAAAGGGCCCATAAATAAATAAATAAGCACATAAATAAATATATAAATATCCAAATAAATAAAAACGCGTAAATATTAAAACACACATTTTTTTTACTTGCATCGTAAAGTAATGGTATTTTTTCATTTGCTATACAGCAAATCGCTAACCTTAATCACCCAGTCGTGCATAAAAGTTGAAGGCAGTATAGTACTGCAGAAATAGAGGAAGTGCAGAATCGCTGAACCGGAATTGATAGCTTGAAAGCATTTAGCGTGGGGGCCCTTGAGAGTGCAGGGCCCGTTGCATATCGAGATGCTTTTGCTACGAGGATCATCCGGCACTGAGTGGGGTGTTGGGGGCGGGGGGGGGGAAGCGGTGTGGGTGGGAGCCATGAACCTTTGCACCTTGGACAAAAGGCTCCCGTCGAATCGTCCGATCCACACGTGGCGAACTCGGTGGTGTGAGGAGCGTAAACAAGAGGCAGAGGCGGTGTATAGGGCACCCATAGAGACGTGGGAACAGGTGCTGCAACATAAACAAACGAAACACACAGCAGATCGCCCCTGCGGCCTTGAACAAGAGTTTTTTTGAGCGTTGGCCCACCCCGTCCGCTTCGGCACGGTGCACGAGGCTGGGGCGGCTGGCTGAGTCGACACGCGTGCGCTTGCTCTACTACCACCCCCTTTGGTGATCTGATAACCAGGGTCCACGGCCCCGCCGCCGCCGCTTATCCGCTGGGCCGTTTGCAATATCCTGGCGTGTGGTGCGATCCCCGTTTCAAAAGGTGTACGAGAGATAGGTGTGCGCTGTTGGGGAGCGAGGGGGTCTGCGCGTGGCGCGGGGTGGAGGGGGTTCACGGAGAGGGGGAGGGCCTGGTGGGTTAAGGCAAGGATATCAAGATACCCCCGTGAGATTATCGGCTACGGTAATTAATTCTCGTTGAGCTTCCCCCGGACGATCCCGTCAGAACTCGGCGGCTGAGCAGCCCGTCGAGCGCAGGGCGGGGGGCCCGGTGGGTGGGGTTAAAGGGGATGAACTCCCACACTTCTCCCCAGCCCACAGCACCCGAGTGCTGCCAGCACCCCGATCAGCGCGGTTGGCAATGTACGGTGCAAAAGAAGTTCAACGTACGTGCGTGCTACTGACGCTGCTGGGCGGAGAGAGGGGGGCGGTGGAAAGGGGTGGCTTTTAGAAGCTTGCCAAATTGTTTTGCCCCGGCCGCGTGCCACGAGGTCGCATCGAACCGCCAACCCCTGCATTGTGAGTCCAGGTTTTTCTCGAAAATAATAATATAATAATGTACAGCGCTTTGTTCATCCACTGCTGGATGAAGGTTCCCTGACAGCACTTTCCCCAACAGTCTATGTCTGCGGTAGTGTCGTAGTTCGCGCACACTGCTATAAACCCAGCCACCAAAGTTCGATTCCCGGCCATGGCTAACGTCATTGGTGATTATCTGCGCCGGTCCCGCACCTCATCTAGATGAACCCGGCCTTAAATTAGTATCTCATGCTGTGTAAAAAAAACCAAGAAGTATCACTGGAGAGACAGAGGCATCTGTCCGTCCTTCCACACACCCCCACGTGCACCGTGCCAGCCTTCATAGGTGCTCACGAACTGCACTTACCCGAACAGCCTGTTCAGCCTACACGTGGGAGAAGGGGATGGGGGGGGGGGTATCTTTGGCTTCACCTTTGTCCTCCGCTGGTCCCCCCCCCCCACCCCCCACCCCCCACCCCTCCAGCGCAGTGACTCGGCGGACTCGCAGGGGCCTCACACCCCCTCGGAGGAGAGCTTCTCCAGCTCTGGGGGCAGCAGCGAGGAGTCCATCACCGGGCTGCCCTTCCACCTGGACGACGTCGACCGGCGCGGCGGCGGCGGCGGCGGCGGCGGGCGGGAGCCGGCGCCGGTCCCCCGCCAATTCCGGCACAACCTCCCCCAGCTGTTCATCGCCCGGGGCAGGCGGGCGCAGGAGTACCTCGACCCGTCGGACGACTCGCGGTCCATGACCCCGACCGACGCCGATGAAGGCGGCAGCGGCCACGACTTTGACGGCGACTACCAGCAGCTGTTGGGCCAGCTCAACATCAACAAATCTGGGGGCCGACCGGCGAACGTCGCCGCGGCGAGCAGGGCCCCGGCCCGCGGCGCCGGCGTTCCGGCGCGATCGCCGCCGGACTCACCGCTCAGCCTGGAGGGCGACCGCGGCGACGTCGACGGCGCCGCGGTGGCTCGCGTCGACGCGGCGCCGGCGGCGATGGAGGGGGTCGTGCCGCCGGCGGATCAGTGCCTGGCGCAGCGGGAGCTGCGGTGGATGTCGCAGACGTCGCTGCGTCGCTACTGCCAGGACACGCGGAACGACGTCGGCGGATTGGACGAGAGCCCCGTCGCTTGCACCGGGCAACCCGACTTTTTTCCAGCTTATCAGCACGTGCAGCATCAGGAGCAGCAGTATCAGCAGCAGTATCAGCAGCCGCAGCACTATCAGCAGCAGCTTTATAATCACTATCGAATGCAGCAGCATGTTCAACAGCAACAACAACAACAACAGCAGCATCAGCAGCAGCAGCTTTATTTGCAGCAGCAGCAGCAGCAGCATCATCTTCATCATCAGCAATATCCCGGCCATTACAATCATCAGCAGTTCCACGTGTCGCCGCACAACTCGCAGCCGGCCTCGCCGCAGCACGCGCCTCCGGGCATCGTCGTCGATGGAGGAGGAGGCGTCTGTAGCTCACGCACGGCCTCCGACGGCGGTGGCGGCCCTCTCGGCGCGGCGGACGTGCGGGCGCCGTTCAGCCGGCAGAGCAGCCTCGGCCTGTCGAGGCTGGAGCCGCCGGGCCCCCTGGTGTCGCACGCGGAGGCCGGCGCGGTGCAGGCGATGCGGGGGTGCGCCGAGAGGAACTGGCACCCAGGCCCCGCGGAGGGAGAAGCCTTCTCGCCCGGCGCGCCGTGAGTATAGCCAGGTTGGGATTGGGGGGTGGAGGGTGGGGACACGCGCGTGCACCTCGTGGCGTCGTTATCATCGTTGGTGCGAGTTGAGTAGCTCGCGATCGCTCGGGAACCGCAGGCGCACGGGGTCAAGGCAGCAGCCGGCCGGCCGGTAATACCGGCACGACCAGCGGGTGCCCAAGGTCCGCGGTGCTCTACGTAACGAGGTGTTTTGAGCCGATCTTAATGAGCGTTTAGACGTGCGGGAGGAAACTGTAGCACGTGTATCCCATAAAAAGAAGGAACAGATGGAGTTTAGTCCGCGCTTTGCTGTACTGCCTCGTGCCGCGCCGAGGTAGGGCACCCACGGCAAGGGAGTTTAGCCACAGTTTAGCGATACACAAACCTCTCAACCCCTTATCAGTGTCCTCCTTTGTTACAGACCAATTCAGACCTTATTGGTCACCCCGTGCCCCTTATAAATCTCAACGTTCATCCTACAAAGTCCCATCACAAGGGAGAAACACAAACAAAATGGTGTTTTTGTAAATGTATTTTGCCCGTATTGAAACGGCCGTACGCCACATGGACCGGAACACTTCCCCCGTACAAGAAGACGTTGCGAACCGCGTGGGTTGACACGGGAGGGATACACCGACCCTCGCTTGCCTCCGTAATTCTGGATTACGAGCCACGTGTCCGGCCACCACCACCACCACCGCCGCTACCGCCCGGCTTGTATTGGTAGCGTGTGTGTGGCTATATACGTGTGTGTGTGTCTATATACGTGTGTGTGTCTATATACGTGTGTGTGTGTCTATATACGTGTGTGTGTGTCTATATACGTGTGTGTGTGTGTCTAGCTCCCTATTGCTCAACCACGTTATGTATGCCGATGCTTTGGTAATAGCTGCTCATTCAGAGGAGGAGTTGGAGACGCTGCTGCTGAGACTGGAGCGTGCCACTAAGAGATGGGGCTTTACCATCAGCCCCACCAAAACTAAGCACCTGCCTGGGTATTTTGTACCATCGGACACTCCACCCCCACAACTCCCAATCCGTGATGGGGCAGTTGTGGAGAGAGTTGAGAGTTTCCCATACCTGGGCAGTGTGCTTATGACCGGCTCCAGTTTAGCAGCAGAGGTCTCACTCCGAATCAGTCGAGCGGCAATATCTTTTCATCGGTTGCGTAACGCTGTGTGGAAGCTACCTGGTCTGTCGCTCCGCACTAAGCTTCAGGTCTTCTCGGCCACGGTCATTCCCTCCCTTTTCTACGCTTGCGAAATGTGGACCCCCCCTAATGGAACATCTTCGCCGGTTAGAAACATTTAGGCTGGCCTGCCTACGATCCATCCTGGGTTTAACCAGGCTGGATTGTCTGAGGAGCTCACAAATCCCTGAAAGATCTGGGCAAGGTCCCATCGGTGAGCTCCTCCGGCGGGCGAGGCTGCGATGGCTGGGTCATGTAGCCTGCATGCCCAGCCACCGCATGCCGAAACAGCTTTTGTTCGGCCGAATCGAGGGCGCTAAACAGGCGCGGTATGGGCTACAGAAGAGATGGAGTGATGTGGTACAGGAGGACGTGGAGCTGAGTGGACTTGCCGATGACTGGTACCAGCGGTGTCAAGATCGGCCTCTGTGGAGGAGGCTCGTGAAGGACGCTACTGGGCAGTTGGAGGTAGTCGCTCTCCAACACCAACGGAGGGCGGAGGAGCGACGCTCACAACAACGAGCGGAGCGCAGGGTGGCTAAAGCACAGCAGGTTGGCATAGTAGGGGGCACAGGTGGTGCATCAGCCAGTCATCTCAGTCATCTTAGTCAGTCGACCTATGGCACTTGGGTCTGCCCAGTGACCTCCTGCCAGCGGGCGTTCGACACTCCACGTGGCCTCAAGGTGCATATGACCTGGCACAAGCGTCGTGGTGACGTCACCGCCACTTAGTGGCGAATGGCGGTTTTTGTTGTTGTGTGTGTGTCTATATACGTGTGTGCGTATGTCTGTATACGTGTGTGCATGTGTCTATATACGTGTGTGTGTCTGTATACGTGTGTGTGTCTGTATACGTGTGTGTGTGTCTGTATACGTGTGTGTGTCTATATACGTGTGTGTGTGTCTATATACGTGTGCGTATGTGTGTCTATATACGTATGTGTGTGTCTATATACGTATGTGTGTGTCTATATACGTATGTGTGTGTCTATATACGTGTGTGCGTGTGTGTGTCTATATACGTGTGTGTGTGTCTATATACGTGTGTGTGTGTCTATATACGTGTGTGCATGTGTGTGTCTATATACGTGTGTGCATGTGTGTGTCTATATACGTGTGTGCGTGTGTGTGTCTATATACGTGTGTGCATGTGTGTGTCTATATACGTGTGTGCGTATGTGTGTCTATATACGTGTGTCTGTGTGTCTATATACGTGTGTGTGTGTCTATATACGTGTGTGCGTGTGTGTGTGTCTATATACGTGTGTGTGTGTCTATGTACGAGTGTGTGTGTGTGTGTGGGGAGCGGTGGCGTAGCGCTGCGTTACGAACCCGGCAGAGACCCGAGGTTTCGATTCCCACCCACGGCCCAACACCAGTGACAATTTTCTATACCGGTTCCTGGACGTCCCCTGAGTCGATTGGCACTAGTGAGACAAAGGTGGCCGGGTGTGGTGCTTGCCACGTCACCCCCACGTGTACCATGCCAGACTTCGTAGCCCCAAAAGTCTTTTTAAGGCTCTACGGGGGCACTTTGTCGACAATCTCAGTCAGTCAACCCATCACGCCGGTTCAGATAATCGTCACTGGTGTTGGCCGTGAGCCGGAAGCGAACTCGGGTCGCCGGGTCCGTGGTTCGGCGCGCTAACCACTGCGCCACCGATCCCTAACACAAATAAAGATCCCCCCGTATAGCTTCAACAAACTGTTAGGGCAAGTTCTGTCAGCGAGTACCTATGAAGGCCGGCGCTGCACACGCGGCGGTGGGTGGCCAGCACCACGCCCGGCCGCCTTTGTCTCCCCGGTTGGCGGTGTTTACACACCGTACCGGGTACTCAATTTAAAGCCCTAGGCCCAACCCCTAGGCCAGGGCCTAGGGGTTGGGCCGGCCTTCATAGGTCATTGCGAACAGCGCTTGCATTGAGCCGATGGCGTGGGGCCGCATGGACTGTGTGTGTGTGTGTTGGGAGCGGTGAGTCAGCCCTGCGCCTCCCCTAGGTCGACTCAGCCTTAAATCAGTACACGGTGTGGTGTGCGTGTATCACATCGGCACTGACGTGAGGCAAAGTTGACGTGGTGCTGACCACAGCACTGCATCGCGAGCAGCGCTCTCCCCCCGCGGGCTAAATAGGCTACGTATTTAGCTGCGTCTGCGTGCGCGTTTGCTTTTTCGCAGACCGGCGTGCTCTCCTGGCGGCACCCGGACACAAAGCATCGTCCTCCCAGACCGACAGCGTGAGTTCCCCTCGGCAAGCCCTCTTGCCCGATCACCGTCATCGCCAGCGCCTGCGAAGCCGATAAACCATTTTATGTTTTTTTTGCCACTGAGGTTTTTTTTTTTTACCACCGAGGCTACGTAGGTAAGGCCCGCTAAGCCGTGTCAGCTCTTTCTTTTTTTTATATATAGAAGCGACCTGGCCACAAATGATAGCTCGACGAAGTGGCTCATCGTCACGTGAGAATTTACCGCGGCCGAATACTCCAGACGCGTTGACTCCAAACGCGGAGGGAAAAACCGGAGAAAAATCCGCACGACCACGGGGAGAACACGCAAACTCCAAATATTCAGGCGTCGGGGTTGGGATCGAATCCACAATCTCCTGTATACCAGGCGAGGTAGTTAACATCTCGCCACTGCGTGCCCTAACAACCGTTGCATTTGGTTACTCACCTGGTTCACCTGGGATTCACGCGGCAAGTGTTGTCACTCAGAGGGCGTTCCTCTTTGCCACCACCCGCTCTCCCCCCCTCTCTCTCTCCGTGCCACCAACCGCTGTCCCTCTCACTCCCTTCATTATTATTCGTTCTCATGAACATGGCTCACCGCACGCTCGTGCTAGGTCATGCTACCCCAAAGCTCATGAAAAACACACGGCCCTGGATTTTGTACGAGCCCGCAGCCGGACGGCGTTGCGCTTTGGATGCATGCGAACGGAAAGTGACGGTCTGTCTTCGCTCGTCACGCGTTCCTCTGGAACCTTCTCTCTTCCTTCTCCCCCTACCCCCCTCGCCATCCCCCTCCCCCAACGCCGTTCTCCCCCACAGGCAAAATTTTCGTCACCTACTCGTTGGACAACGACGCCCACATCGGCAAGGTCATCTCCTTCGTGACCTGGCTCCGTAAAAATGGATTCTACACAGAGGTGCGTAGGCGCGGTCGCCCCCCCCCCCCCCCCACGTGTGCCGGTTGAGCCTCCCAGAAACCCTGGGGGTATTCTCGAGAGACGTCACAGAGGGTCAGCGAATCAGCCAGACCGAAAACGCCCGCTCGGCGGAGGCCCGGGCTTGCCGAGTCTCCTTTGCCCACCACACGGGGGCAGCTGCCAGCGGGGGTGCCCCTCGTCCGCCTGCAGCTCCCCCCCCCGCGGGCTTGGAGCAGGGGGCGGCTCTGTCGTTGCTAGCTAGCAGACGAACGCGGCCGCGGGGGGCTGCTGGCGTCTCCCGTGTCGTTTCGTCCGCGCGCTCCGCCTGGTCGCGGCTCTCGCAAGCCAAGCAAGCGTTGAGCCTGGGCCAACGCGCTCGGATTGGGCGGCCCACGACTGCACGCCGTGTGGTCGCGGCGGGGGGTGGGGGGTGGGGGTGGGGGGGGGGTGAGGGGGGGGGGTGGCGCGTCGTGGCGGGCGTTGCTGTGCTGCACCGCGCCGCCTTCAACCAACCAAGCATCCGCGCCGACCAGCCCGGGGAATTTTCGGCCAAACAACTCCACACGACGGCTTCTTACCATACGTAGGCGACCAGCGCGCGAGCAGATCGCAGAGCGGTGGCGAGGCGGTTGGAGCGCCGCCAACCGGGCAACCGGCCCGGGGCCGAACCCCAGAAAACGCTGCCCTGGAAAAGTATTCCGTGAGAAATCAAGCTCTGGTGCTGGGGAGACAAAGGCGGCCGGGCACGATGCTCGCCACGCCCCCCCGTCCCGCGTTGCGCCGAGGCTGCCTCCGTAGGCGCTCGCCATCGCCGCTTGCCTACACGCGGGAACCTTTGTCTGTCTGCCTTTTGTACTTCCCCACCGCCCCCCCCCCCCCTAGATGGACATGTTCGACACGCTGCTGCAAGGCATGAGCAAGATCGAGTGGATGGACCGGTTTCTGGACGACGTACGTTTCCCCGAGCCTCGTTTCTCTCCTGCCTCCCTGTCCTGCCTCTCTTCCTGCCTGTCTTGCCTCGCCTGCCTGCCCGCCTTTCCCGTCCACATCTCTGTCCGTCTGCCTCAGGCGGCGCGCCCATCCCTGCCCATAGAGGTGTGCGCGCACGTGCACCTGGGGCCTCCAACCGCACCACGCCGCTCTCTGTAAACATTCCATCCCTCTTCTCCCCACCCCCTCTCTGCACCATCCCCCGCGACAAATGAGTGGCCGGCGTGGGTGTCGTGTCTTCACAATGCGCGGTCCTCGCGCGTTTCTTCCTCGTGCGTGACGGCAGCTCACGGTGACTGTGCAGTTCATCGAGACGAGCCTTTAAAACATCTGTAATTTGAATAGAGGGGGGGCACGCACAGCGTCACACGACGAGCCTTTAAAACATCTGTAATATGAATAGAGGGGGGGGCACGCACAGCGTCACACGACGACTCTATAAAACATCTGAATGGTAAAAGTCGCTCCAGTGGGGGGAAAATGGGGGTTACGTTCCTGGTGCAAGTGAACATGGGGGGGGGGGGGTGGGCGTGGGGCGGGGGAAATGGTAAATGTTTATAATAACAATGACTATACAATCGATAATTATAAAGAAGAATGCAGAATATATATGGTGATGACGATGATTATTTGACGACGATGGAGTGGGTGGTGGTCATACCGAGGAATTCAGTAGTGGGCGACTCCTCGGGAGAGACAGATGTTTGGTAACAACGCCGCACAGCTGTTATCATTCTCGCACTCTGGGGGAGCGCTAGCCGCAGAACTTTCCCCGCATTTCGCGTTCTTTTGAATAGGCCTCGCAGTCGACTCGTTCGTATCAAAATGTGTCAAACTGAGCCGACCGCGAGTGCGTCTGAAGCAAACGTGCACGGTCGCGAGTCCGGAGCGGGATTGCTGCGAGACCGAGGACTACGCGGAGAGCCGAGCTTGGGAGTGCCCCATCCTCGCGGACGACAAGTCTCAAACGTAACAACGTTCTGGGCGCACCTCCTCCCCGGCGTCGGTGGTCTGGCACGACGCACGCTCACGAACACCGAAGTCCGGCGGGTCACGAATGTGGGGGGGGGGGGGGATTGGTAAACATTTAGTTCACCGGCGGATACGCGAGTCCTGAACTGGCGCAGAGAGAGGGTTTTACTGTACTTTGTTTTCTGTGTTACCCAGGCAGGTTGATGGTATCTCTCGCTCGCTCGCTCGCCCGCCCGCCCTGTGTGGTGTCACGTCTTGCGTGTCACCAACTCACTAAACCACTCAATCGCTCACCCACACACTTATCCACCCGCTCGCAAACCGAATCACCCACCCACTTACTCACCCACACGCATACTCGCCCACCTATCCACCGTAGCATCTCAACCACCTACTCACTCACCCACTCGCTCACCCACTCGCTCACACACCTCTCAGCTTTGTATTAGTTTGTGTATGCGTCGCTACTGGGTGTATACACACTACGACAAAGACAAAGATCCCCTGTATAGCCTTAACAGACTGTAGGGGCAAGTGCTGTTTGTGAGCACCTATGAAGGCTGGCACGGTAAACGATGAGGTGGGTGGCCAGCACCACGCCCGACCGCCTTTGTCTCCCCATTGGCGATGATTTTACACACAGGACCAGGTACTGATTTGAGGCTGAGTCGACCGAGGGGAGGCCCAGGACCGGTTAATATAATCGTCACTGGTGTTGGCCGTGAGCGGGAATCGAACTCGGGCCGCCGGGTTCATAGCGCAGCGCGCTAACCGCTGCACCACCGCTGCCTTCACACTCACCACACACGCACTACTCACTCACTACACGCTGACTACTCACTCACTACACGCACACTACTCACTCACTACACACACACTACACGCACACTACATGCTCACTGCACACACACTACACGCTCACTACACGCACACTACACGCACACTACATGCTCACTACACGTTCACTACAGGCACACTACACACACACTACACGCAAACTACACGCTCACTACTCACTACACGCACACTACACACACACTACACGCTCACTACACGCTCACCACACGCACACCACACGCTTACCACACGCACACGCTCACTACACGCTCACTACACGCACACTACACGCTCATTACACGCTCACCACACGCTCACCACACGCATACCAGACGCACACACACACTACACGCTCACTACACACACACTACACGCACACTACACGCACACTACACACACACTACACGCTCACTACACGCTCACTACACGCACACCACACGCTCACCACACTACACACTCACCACACTACACACTCACTATACGCACACACTGCACACACTACACACTCACTACACACACTACACACTCACTACACACGCACTACACGCTCACTACACGCTCACTACAGATACCACACACACTACATGCACACACGAACACACGCACACACACTACACGCACACACTACACGCACACACGAACACACGCACACACTACACTCACACACTACACGCACACACACACTACCCGCACACACTACAAGCACACACACTACACGAACACACACGCACACACACTACACGCACACACTACACACACTACACGCACACACTACACACACACACTACACACACACATTACACGCACACACTACACACACACATTACACGCACACACTACACACACACACACTACACACACTACACGCACACAATACACGAACACCCACTACACACACACACTGCACACACTACACACATTACACACACACACTACGCGCACACACACTACACACACACACTACACGCACACACACTACACACACACTACACACACTACACACACACACTACACACACACTTCACACACTACACACACACTACACGCACACACTACACGCACATACTACACACACACACTACACATACACTACACACACACACTACACACACTACACACACACTACACGAACACACACACACACACTACACACACACACTATACACACACACTATACACACAAACTACACACACACACACTACGCACACACTACACGCACACACTACACGCAGACACTACACACACACACTACACACACTACACACACTACACACACTACACACACACTACACACACTACACAAACACTACACACTCTACACGCACACACACACACACTCTACACGCACACACACTACACACACTACACGCACACACTACACGCACACACACTACACGCACACACAGTACACGCACGCACTACACACACTACACGCACACACTACACACACTACACGCACACACTACACACACTACACACACACACTACACACACACACTACACACACACTATACACGCTACACACACTACACTACACACACTACACACACACTACACTACACACACTACACACACACTACACGCACACACGCTACACACACACCACACACTACACTACACACACTACACACACACTACACACACTACACACACACTACACACACACTACACTACACACACTACACACACACTACACACACACACTACACACACTACACTACACACACTATACACACACACTACACACACTACACTACACACACTACACACACACCACACACACTATACACACTACACGCACTACACACATACACCACACACACACTACACACACACCACACACACACTACACACACTACACTACACACACTACACACACTACACACACACACTACACACACACACTACACACACACTACACTACACACACTACACACACACACTACACACACTACACTACACACACTACACACACACTACACACACACTACACACACGCACTACATGCACTACACACACCACACACACTACACACACACTACACACACACTACACACACACTACACACACACCACACACACACACTACACACACACACTACACACACACACTACACACACACTTCACACACACTACACACACGCATTACACGCACTACACACACACACTACACACACACACTACACACACACTACACACACACACTACACACACACTACACACACACTACACACACACACTACACACACTACACACACACTACACACACACTACACACACACTACACACACACACTACACACACACTACACACACACACTACACACACACTCTACACACACACACTACACACACACACTACACACACACACTACACACACACTACACACATACACACTACACACACACACACTACACACACACACTACACACACACACTACACACACACACTACACACACACTACACACACACTACACACACTACACACACACACTACACACACACTCTACACACACACACTACACACACACACCACACACACTATACACGCTACACACACTACACACACTACACACACACACTACACACACACTACACACACTACACACACACACTACACACACTACACACACACTACACACACTACACACACACACTACACACACACTCTACACACACACACTACACACACACACCACACACACTATACACGCTACACACACTACACACACTACACACACACACTACACACACACTACACACACACGCGATCTGGGTGCCCTGGGATTCCGATGACACGTTGCGCAATCTCTCTAGCACGTACGCACATGCCCGTGAGGTGGTAGCCAAGTGTGTACGTCGAGCGCGTGAGAGAATATCATTGTGCAAGGTGTGGGGAGGGGGGGGTGGTGGTGGCGGCGGGGTTAGGGGCGTCTGAAGGACGAGAGCGATGGATGTGGGAGGGCGATGCGGTGGTTCAAGAGATCGGGGAACTGACTTGGCACCACTGAGATCCTGGGTGCACTCCACTCCCCTCCACGCACTCCCCTACCACTCCCCTCTCATCTCACTCCACTCCCCTCCACGCACTCCCCTACCTCTCCCCTCTCATCTCACTCTACTCCCCTCCACACACTCTCCACCCTCTCCCCTCTCATCTCACTCTACTCCCCTCCACGCACTCCCCTACCTCTCATCTCACTCTACTCCCCTTCACGCACTCTCCTACCTCTCCCCTCTCATCTCACTCTATGCCCCTCCACGCACTCCCCTACCTCTCATCTCACTCTACTCCCCTCCACTCACTCTCCACCCTCTACCCTCTCATCTCACTCTACTCCCCTCCACTCACTCTCCACCCTCTCCCCTCTCATCTCACTCCACTCCCCTCCACGCACTCCCCTACCTCTCCCCTCTCATCTCACTCTACTCCCCTCCACGCACTCCCCTACCTCTCCCCTCTCATCTCACTCCACTCCCCTCCACGCACTCCCCTACCTCTCCCCTCTCATCTCACTCTACTCCCCTCCACACACTCTCCACCCTCTCCCCTCTCATCTCACTCTACTCCCCTCCACGCACTCCCCTACCTCTCATCTCACTCTACTCCCCTTCACGCACTCTCCTACCTCTCCCCTCTCATCTCACTCTATGCCCCTCCACGCACTCCCCTACCTCTCATCTCACTCTACTCCCCTCCACTCACTCTCCACCCTCTACCCTCTCATCTCACTCTACTCCCCTCCACTCACTCTCCACCCTCTACCCTCTCATCTCACTCTACTCCCCTCCACGCACTCCCCTACCTCTCCCCTCTCATCTCACTCCACTCCCCTCCACGCACTCCCCTACCTCTCCCCTCTCATCTCACTCTACTCCCCTCCACGCACTCCCCTACCTCTCCCCTCTCATCTTACTCTACTCCCCTCCACGCACTCCCCTACCTCTCCCCTCTCATCTCACTCCACTCCCCTCCACGCACTCCCCTACCTCTCCCCTCTCATCTCACTCCACTCCCCTCCACACACTCCCCTACCTCTCCCCTCTCATCTCACTCTACTCCCCTCCACGCACTCCCCTACCTCTCCCCTCTCATCTCACTCTACTCCCCTCCACGCACTCCCCTACCTCTCCCCTCTCATCTCACTCCACTCCCCTCCACACACTCCCCTACCTCTCCCCTCTCATCTCACTCCACTCCCCTCCACGCACTCCCCTACCTCTCCCCTCTCATCTCACTCTACTCCCCTTCACACACTCCCCTACCTCTCCCCTCTCATCTCACTCTACTCCCCTTCACACACTCCCCTACCTCTCCCCTCTCATCTCACTCTACTCCCCTCCACGCACTCCCCTACCTCTCCCCTCTCATCTCACTCTACTCCCCTCCACACACTCTCCACCCTCTCCCCTCTCATCTCACTCTACTCCCCTCCACACACTCCCCTACCTCTCCCCTCTCATCTCACTCTATGCCCCTCCACGCACTCTCCTACCTCTCATCTCACTCTACTCCCCTTCACGCACTCCCCTACCTCTCCCCTCTCATCTCACTCCACTCCCCTCCACGCTCTCTCCTACCTCTCCCCTCTCATCTCACTCCCCTCCACGCACTCTCCTACCTCTCATCTCACTCTACTCGCCTCCACTCACTCTCCTACATCTCCCCTCTCATCTCACTCCACTCCCCTCCACACACTCCCCTACCTCTCCCCTCTCATCTCACTCTACTCCCCTCCACGCGCTCCCCTACCTCTCCCCTCTCATCTCACTCCACTCCCCTCCACGCGCTCTCCGCTCCGTTAATCGAGGCTTTCTGCAAAATTTCCTCGCCAATTCTCCGCTGGCCCCTCCCTTCCTCCGCCGCAGCCGCCCGTGCTGTCGACCTCGCTGCTCCTGTTCGAGTCGAGGCTCAGCACTTCCCTCACCTCCCTTTGCCTGTGACTCACTGCCTCCGTCTCCGAAATCGACAAAAATCTATAAATGTTGCCTATTGTATTTATACACAGCCGGTTTATGCATGTCTGACTAGGGCGTTGAGGTGTATGAAAGTCTCGACATATCTACACAAGCATGCATAACAAACAGTCTCAATCTGACTCTCAGTCTTCCTGTTTGTCTGGTGGTCTTGACTGTATAATATCAGTAAAACCTTGGATTGCGAGCATAATTCGTTCCGGAAGCGTGTTTGTAATCCAAAGCACTCGTATATCGGTTGTGATCACGTGATGCTCGGCAGACAAAGTGTATACGTACACTGCTCGTATTGCAAGACCCTCACTCGTTTATCAAATTAATATTAATTAAAACATTTTACTCGTCTTGCAAAACACTCGCAGACCAAGTTACTCGCAATACAAGATTTTTCTGTATTAGTGCTTTGACGTGCGTCAGGCTATCTTAGCGCGTGTCCTCTACACATCGGGGCGTTCCTCGGTCAGCCTTGACTGTCCGTCTGCTCCTCTGTGCGTGTCTTGTCTGCGTGCAGAAGGACTACCTGATCGTGGTGATAATCAGCCCCAAATACAAGAGAGACACAGAGACTCCGGCTGGCAGTGACGAGCATGGATTGCACACACACTACATTCACCAGCAGGTGAGTCGCACACCCAGAGTCTCTCTACACAGACACAGGCACACCCCCCAGAGTGCCTCCTATACAAAGATCACCCGGCAGTGGAAGCAATGGGGTGCAAGGTTCTTAAACCCCCCCCCACATCTCCTCCACCCACCCCTCCCACCAACCTCCACCCCCCAGCTTCTGTCCACCCAGCAGTGTGATTGGCTACTGCACCGGGGTTAGTCGATCAGCAGGCCGTGTGCGGTGGGCTACACTGTGGGTGTGTTGCTCGATTGGGCTTCCGCATCCACCCCCGCTCCCCCCCCCCCGCCCCCCCCCCCCCCCGTACTGGCAGGTCAGGCGCTGAGTTACCGTATGCCACGCAGGGACAGCTGCCGCTAGGGGGTGGGCGGAGAGAAGGGGGGGCGGGGGGGGGGGGGAAGTGAACCGGATTTGTGACGCTCGGGTATGCGGCCGTCCGGGGTGACCGACCGTCCGTGGCGTCTGTCGTGCGTGCAGATGAAGAACGAGTACATCCAGAACGGGAGCAAGAACTTCCGCTTGGTGCCCGTGCTGTTTCCCGACGCGACCAAGGTGGGTAACACGTCGCCCCGCGCGCCCGTTTTCGGCGCTCGCGTCCAGCTAGCGGGGGGGGGGGGTGTTGCTGTGGATGGGGGCGGGGGGCCGGCGGGGGGGGAGGTCAGCCTCATCGTTTGCCGAACGCGGTGGCAGCGGTTAGCGTGACGCCCGCTTAGCGGGACGCGGACTCCAACGGCGTGCGTCGTCAGTTCGGTGTTGTCACGTCAGCCCCCTAGCCCCCCACCCCCCTCCGCCTCCACCCAGCAGCAACACCTACGACGAGCACGGTTGGCTACGCACGGTGCGAAAGAAGTTCAACGCACGTGCATAGGGGCCTCGGCCGCTTCGCAGCTTGTTGAGCAAGGCCCGCGTGTCACCCGCTGGGATGTGTCAGTATTTTTGTTTTTTTTATTATTATTAGGCTCACTGAGCTATACAGCTCTTTTTCAGCAGCGACCTGGCCACAAATGTGTGAATTTGTAGCGGCCAAATACTCTGAGCGCACGTTTATTCCAAACGTGGATGAAAAAACGGAGGATCCGGAGGGGAAAAAATTCCACGCGACCACAGGGACAGAGACGCAAACGCCAAATATACAGCAGCAGCAGCTGCAGGCGTCAGGGTCGGGATCGAACCCACAACCTCCCGCGTACCAGGCGAGGGAGTTAACGTCTCGGCACCGTGACGCGCTAACGTCGCCAACATTCCGCCCGGACCCTGACTCGCCTTCTTCATCTTCTTCTGCTCCTCTTCAGGGGCACGTGCCGAGCTGGCTGAACAACACCATCGTGTACCCGTGGCCCGGCAAGCAGGCGGACCTGATGCTGCGCCTGTGCCGCAGGGAGAAGTACGAGATCCCACCGCCGGGGCCCCTGCCCGTCATCGTCGCTCAGCCCTTCGGCTCCAAGTAGCGAGAAGTGCCCCCCCCCCTCGCCCCGCCCCCCCCAACTACCACCATCCCCCACCCGGCCCACACTCCCGCAATCGATACGGCCTGGGGGGGGGGGGGGACCGCACCCGAGCCGTCGGTTGCGCAACTCGGATCGCTGTCGCGGGGGGGCGTCTCGGCAACGCGTTGCGAGCGAGTGGCGACAAAGACGGAGTTGCGTGCGGCGGAATCGCTTCGTACTGCAAAGGGTCGCGTGGGGAGCAGAGTGAGATGAGAGGGGAGAGGTAGGGGAGTGTGTGGAGGGGAATGGAGTGAGATGAGAGGGGAGAGGTAGGGGAGTGCGTGGAGGGGAGTGGAGTGAGATGAGAGGCAGGAGAGATCGGAGAGTGAGTGGAGGGGAGTGGAGTGAGATGAGAGGGGAGAGGTAGGGGAGTGCGTGGAGGGGAGGGGAGTGAGATGAGAGGGGAGAGGTAGGGGAGTGTGTGGAGGGGAGCAGAGTGAGATGAAAGTGGAGAGGTAGGGGAGTGTGTGGAGGGGAGTGGAGTGAGATGAGAGGGGAGAGGTAGGAGAGTGTGTTGAGGGGAGTAGAGTGAGATGAGAGGGGAGAGGTAGGGGAGTGTGTGGAGGGGAGTGGAGTGAGATGAGAGGGGAGAGGTAGGGGAGTGCGTGGAGGGGAGTGGAGTGAGATGAAAGGTAGGAGAGTGCGTGGAGGGGAGTGGAGTGAGATGAGAGGGGAGAGGTAGGAGAGTGCGTGGAGGGGAGCAGAGTGAGATGAGAAGACTGACGTAGCCTGACAGGACGAAGGGGCCTTGGAGGGTTCGATTCCCGACTCGGGTGCCTTTCTTGCGTGGAGTTTAGATGTTCTCTCCATGTTCTGTGCGGCTATCCCCCGGGTTTCTTCCAGTAACTGCAACATTAAAAAAAACCCTCTAAAGCCAACGCCAATCTCGGCGCAAATTGACAACAAATCTCACAAAAAATGTACCCACAGAACGACTCCGTCGCATTGCAATCGCTGGCCCATTGCCAGAGCCAGGTGCCCGCGTCTCCTTGCCACACAGGGGCAGCCGCCACTTCCCGGCGGTCGAGGTGGAGTGCGGTGCACGGTGCTTCGAGATGCCGATGATGCCCGTGATTTTAAGCCGCCCCCCTGAAATGCGAAGATTGTTGTTGTTCTAGATTTGAAGCTTTTGTGACTGCAAGGATCCATACTCTTTGGTTCTATTCGGTAAAGTCACGTGGGTAAAAAATAAAATAACAAAAAAAATTACGACGTTTCGGCCACAACACAAGTGGCCTTCATCAGGTGAAGGGACCGTACTGTCCAGAGGACAACGCTGTCCTCTGGACAGTCCGGTCCCTTCACCTGATGAACAACGCTGTCCTCTGGACAGTCCGGTCCCTTCACCTGATGAAGGCCACTTGTGTTGTGGCCGAAACGTCGTAATTTTTTTTGTTAATTTATTTTTTTACCTACGTGACTTTACCGAATAGAACCAACGAGTATTGTTGTTGTTGTCGTCATCTGTGTTGACGGACCAAGGCATACGTGCACGAATTGCAATATTTCACCCGCGCGAGATCCCTTGGGGGATGGGGAAACGTCTCGTTGGCAAGAGTGTCCAGGCCACGCTGCCACGCGACGCGTCCAGTCCGAAGATCGCGCGTCGGACTCGGGACGGCACCCGCCCGCCCGCCCGCCCGCATCGGCGCCATCGCTATCTGCCTTGGCAGTGGGGCATCATCGGCGCACGGCACTGCCGCTAGAGTGCGCCTAGCCAGAATGATCCTGTTGCTTTCGTCGCCGTCGGAACGACCGTCGGATCTCAGCTTTGTTCTTTTTGGTTTTAATGTTTTCACATCGCAGTTGCTAATCGCAGGCCCAGAACGACTCTGACCGGGGGCTTTTACATTTCGATTTTTTCCGGGTCGCTTTGTGGACTTTTTGGAGTAGGGTTGGCACGTGACTGGTAGGAGCCACAGGCAAAGAGGTGAGAGGGGTATCATTCTGGATGTGGTGTGCCGGGTGCGGACCCGAGATGACCCGACTGATATTGATGAAGCCCTGCTTATAAAGCAAAGTGGCCAGTAACTAAGAGCAGTAACAAATAGCACTTCATAGCGTAGAGCAGATGAGAACCAACGCGTATCTTGAACCAGGCAAGGTTGTAGCTATCTGGAGTAGGAGACGATGATGGGAGGAGGGAATTCCCGAAGGGAGGGGTGCGAGAAACGAAGCAGAGCGAGAGGTGAGGTGACCTGCAGTGTGGTGAGGTGGGTGGACGATTTGGCGAGTAGGTGTGTGTGTGTGTGTTGGTGGAGGAGGAGTTGGCACAGTAGGAGATTCGGCTGGTGGTGCATCTACCGGTCATCTCAGTCAGCCAATCCATGGCAAAATGCTGGGTCTGTCCCGAGACCACCTCCTGTCAGCGAACCTTCAACACTTCACGTGGCCTCAAAGTGCACCTGGCCTGGCACAGGAGCTGTGGTGACGTCACCGTCATCTCGTGGCGAACGGCGGGTGTGTTGGTATTGGAGGAGCAGTGAGGAGTGGTGGTGCAGTGGTTACCGCACAACGCTATGAACCAGACGAGCCGAGTTCGGTTCCCGCTCACGGCCAACGCCAGTGACATATCTGAACCGGCCCTGGATCTCCCCCAGCTCGACTCTGCTTCAAATGAGTACCGGGTGAGGGGTGTAAACATCGCCTAAGGAAGACAAAGGCGGCCGGACGCGGTGCTGGCCAACCACCCACCCGATCGTGCGCTATGCCGGCCATCGGTGCTCGGCTAGCAGCACTTTCCCCAAAAGTCTGTTCAGGCTGTACGGGGGATCTTTGTCTTTGTGGTGAACGTGTGTTGAGTGAGCAGGGGGGTGAGTGGGTGATGTCGTGACCTGCAGTGTGGTGAGTGAGCAGGGGGGTGAGTGAGCAGGGGGGTGAGTGAGCAGGGGGGTGAGTGGGAGTTGTCGTGACCTGCAGTGTGGTGAGTGAGCAGGGGGGTGAGTGAGCAGGGGGGTGAGTGGTGTTGTCGTGACCTGCGGATGTGGTGGTGGTGGTTGAATGCAATCTCGAGATGACCTAACGATCAGTCTGCCCGACCTGGGTCCTCAACACGGCTCGAGGAATCTACGAGGGACCTTCGCGACCACGCGGTGACTGTGAACTGTAGCATTAAAAGGGTTTAAAAAACCCTGGCCCGGTTTTCGACCTCTGGGGGTGGTGGGGGGGGGATCTCATCGGCAGAGTCGGGATTATTAAACGAACACTGCTGGGATGCCACCAGATGTTATTGGCAGGAGCACTCCGTCTAAACAACGTACGCACGTTGAACTCCCATTGGCGCACCGTACGTAGCCAACCGAACTCATCAAGACGTGTGGGGCGAAAGGACAACAAGCTAATAACGACAAGCAGTTCTAAACAAATGAGTTTTCAATCTCGATGACTTGGAAGCGCATGGCTCCGAGTGGCTTCCTAATGTCGGAAGGAAGATCGATAGGGGGAGGGAGGGGGGTGCCCTGTGCGATGCACAAGAGAAACAATGTTCTGCACATAACTGCGCTTTGTCGTACGTTTATAACGGAGCGCAGTTAGGTCGCGAACGAGGCCTTCATTTCTCGCTCGGGTTATTTTTATTTCTCAACGCTGTTAAGGCTCGCTTGGAGGTAGGGCTCATCGGCACAAGGCACTCACACTAGAGTACCAAGTACGCCTGCCCATAATAATCCCTGTATCATTGTACCGTGTTTTCCTATATAACCGAACGGACACGTTAGTTTTTTGTTTTGTAAATATGGGGCGTGCCGCAAGCATTCCCGGATCGGCGTTCGGGGACCGTTGCGGCTACAATTCGGCACTGCGGGACGCATCGCGGCATGTGCTATATAACAAAGACAAAGATCCCCCGTATAGCCTTATATTGTTGGGGCAAGTGCTGTTAGCGAGCACCTATGAGGGCCGGAACGGCACACGAGGAGGGGGGGGGGGGGGGTGGTCAGCACCACGTCCGGCCAGCCGTTGTCTCACCATTGGCGGTGTTTACACACCGCACCAGGTACACATTTGAGGCTGAGTCGCCCTACAGGGAGGCCCGGGACCAGTTGAGTTAATCGTCACCGGTGTTGGCCGTGAACGGAAATCGAACTCGGATCGCCGGGTTCCTAGGGCAGCGCATTGTATATAAACGCACACGGACACGCGCCGCTGAGAAAGTTTAAAACGTTGGCTTCCACCATTGCTACCACCTGGTGTTTTCACTTTCACTGGGACGTGTGCGGTGGTTCCCGATTTTTTTCGGAGGGATTGGAGGGAACGTGTCGCGTGTATTTTAAGAGCCGCGCGCTGGGCTGGATGTGTTTAAAAAAAATGTTGTTCGTCTTTGTAGAAATAAAAGACCAAAAAAAATTAAATCCATCGCGTCTGCCGCTCATCAGGCGTGGAGCGGCTTCGAAGTTTGTTTGAGCGACGTGAAAAAATAACCTTGGACGAGAGTGTTCTCCATTGTGCTTTTGTTTTAACTTTAGTCGGCACGGCCTGCGAATCGAACCCCGGCTCGCCGGGCTCACGGCGTGGAGCGTGAGACACTCCATCCAGCAGTTAGATGAACACGGAAGTGCTGTGAGAGTGCATTCGCGGTTGTACACAACGTAAACAAAGCCGTTGGACGGATGTATGGAGGATGTGTGTTACGCGAACGGTCCAATCTACAGCCACCATCACCACTTCCCTTTAACACAGACGCCACGACTACTGAACTGTAGAAATCCGTGGAAGCTCCCCCCCCATGCAACCCAAACTATGGATCCATATCGTGAACCCATAGAGATACGCAAGCCATACACTAAACACACTGCTCGCCAACAACAGCATTTGTGCCATACGTTGGCTGTTTTGACTCTCTCCGTGTGTAAACGGTTCGTGTGTATTTGTGGGCATTAGTAGTACACAATGATGGGTACACTAAGACTAGGATCCCCCGTATAGCCTTAACAGACTGAAGGCCGGCACGGTACACCACGCCGGACCGCCTTTGTCTCCAGTGGCGATGTTTACACACCGCACCAGATACTCATTTCAGGCCGAGTTGACCTAGGGGATGCTCAGGACCGGTTCAAATAATGGTCACTGGTGTTGGCCGTGAGCGGGAATCGAACCCGGGTCGCCAGGTTTATAGCGCAGCGCGCTAACCGCTACACTACCGCTCCCCACACGCACACACTCGCACAGAAAGTCTAGAGCGCATGGACGCACTGGGCACCTGGATTCTCGCTCGATTCAGGAATTCCCGGCCTGGGTGGATTTCCAGGAACCCCTTTGCTCGATTC